GTTTGCAGTGACCATTTAAACTTGCATCTGTGGCCCACCTCTGATTTTGCACCTTGGTCTTCAGCCTAGAAACATTCAATCCCATAATATGGGCATCATCCCAAAAACCTTGGAGGGTGGGAATTAAATTCTACCACTTCTTCACAAGCAAGATAGCATTGTGATTACAGTTGTGGTCAAAGAACTCTTAACAGCCTTGATTCTGATATATAGGATAACAGGTCCTAATATCTAGTCAGTAGCTCAATAGAGGAGAACCATAGTGAGAATGTGTCCCTGCTGCTCACCTGAAGTTGTGTAGAAATGTGGCAAATGCCATAAACCAAAGCACATTCTTGCTCTAGCAACAGTGGGAAAATCATGCACCAGATTTTGCAGAACATCTGAAATACCAACCCCTTTGGCAAGAGCCAAAGTGCCTGTCAATCCAATCAAAAGCCTTTTTTATGATGATACAGTCCCCATAAAGTAGACTGTTAAATTTTTGGTGTAACTCAGTCAGAAGCTAAAAGGGAAGGACAGCATTCATTTTTGCCCACCGAGCTGTGAAACCTGATTGCTAAAAATGGTTATTTATTTATTAAAATTATTTATTTATTAAAAGCTTTCAAAGTTGACTGAGATAACAAACAGAGGGGGTCGCACTTGAGCACTTCATAAAGAGTCTTCAGAAAGGAGCCCTTGTCCAAATTTAAGGAGCGTTGACCTATTTCAACATTGGACTGAACTGTAACACTGATCTGGCCACTGAACTTTTGGGAAATTCAGTTTCTGGATCTGAGCATCCTTATTTGGACCCCCTTCTAAGGAGAATGAAAATGATTTGGGGGTATCAATTGTCCTCCTACTGTGGGCATTTGTACAAATGTACACTTCCCCATTTTGCTTAGAATGCTGTTCATTTTGTTTTCAGGAGAAACCCATAACTAGAATAATGGGCATTGTGGGTTAGGATTGAGAGCACTGGCAGAAATATACAGTAAAACTTGTATAGCAACTGCCCTTGGTATAATAGTTCTGACAAAGGCTCTTATTCCCAGAGATGATTTACAGTTAAGCTTGAGAATATATAGTTCTTAATTATCAGCATTCCACAAGTGGTGTTATAGAATCTTAAAAAAAAAAAAAGCTGAGGATCTAGAAAATTAAGACTTAAGGATTCTTATTCTAACCTGTTTTCCCAATAGACTTCCCTTTGTGGGTTAGAGACACAGCAGGAGAGGGTCTGGATGGATTGTGGGAAGGTCCATGTATCTTCTGAAAATTGCTACGAAAATTTCCAAAGATGTTGGAAAAGATCCAGAGGGTTGTCAGTAGGTAGTGTTCAGCTATTTTCTGTTTGCTACCAGTGTAATTTATAGCAGGGATTTTCAATCTTTTTCTTTCAAAGCCCCTCCCAATATGCCATAAAAATCCACAAGCCAGTGGGGCAAGGGAGGAAGCCTTACCTTTTGGATGTGGAGGCTTCCAACTTGGAGGGCTGTGGTGGGCTTGGTATCCCTGTGGGATAGGGGACTCATAGCTTTTGTTCTTTGGGGTAGAGGGGGCCAACTGAGGGCTAGAGACATTGGGGCTCAAGATAGCTTCTGCCAGGGTCTGGGCTTGTGCCCCGCAGGGGTATCCTAGGGGTGGGAGGCGATGCTGAGGGCTTCTGCCCCAGAGGTGTGTGCTGGAGATCAGAGCTTTAGCCTCCAGTGTGTGGGTCTGGATTCCATGCCACAGAGCTCAGGACGTCAAGCTTCAGTTGTTGGATGCCAGAGGTTCTGGCTCCCAGTGGTCCTGCTTGGCAAATCCCTGAAATTGCTCGTGGTCTTTCACTGGGCTCTGCCCCTCCAGTTGAGAAACCACTGAGGTGTAAGACCGAGTGGAAGAAGGAAATGCATTATGGGTGCACTTTGACATTTCACATCACTTTGACAGCTGAGAGTGAGGCTAGAAAGCAGGGAGCTGACTAGGCATAGGGAGGCTTCTCTGTAGCATCTTTGCACCCCAGCTCCTTTTCTCCTCTCTGAGGAAAGGAACAGATATAAAAATGCTGCTCAGATATGTGCTGTACTCTGCAGTCTCTGACCAGGCTGTGTAGAAGGATGGGAATGTGTAGAGTGGATGGATGTGCAGAAAGATGGTTTAGGGGTTGTTTCAAGCCGCAGGATAACTATGGTTAGTTTCCAGCTCAGATATGGCCCAATCAAGCATCCACTGACATCAATTACAATCTTTCCATTAAAATCAGTTGGCACTGAATTAAGCCCATAGCTAAGGTGCTTGAGGTAGACTGCATATATTTTGATTTCAAATATCCTCTGAAATAAACTCATCAGCTGCTGGTCTGCAATGACTTCATTATATTGGTTTTCTTTACAGCACACAGATTCAAAATGTCTGCATAATTTTTGAGGTAGGGAAACAAAGTCTGTTTAGAAGTTTCAGAGGGATAGCCGTGTTAGTCTCTAAGGTGCTGCAGAACTATTCGTTTATCAAGCTTTTTTCTATTATAGACTAACAAAACATATAGATGGTATGATGAATTCTTGGGTACAACCCACTTCTTCAGATGAAATCTGTTTAGCTTTCTATACTGTATTGAGTGCTGGAATTTTGTTAACACACCATTAACATGAAAGTACCCCACCCCCCTTTTCCTTGTACCATTAGCAGTTATAATGATCATTTCTACCCAGTAACAAGAAAGTTGGAAATATATAAGACCAGATCATTAGCTGATCTAAAGTTCAAGCTCCGGAGCTTACAAACATTTATGCCATCTAGGAGTCTGACCATAGTCAATTCTGTATTATATCATGCAAATTTCTTAAAAATGTCCCAAAAGCAATACAAAACAAAATAGGTGTCTCAAACATCATCATCGTGTAAAGAATCCTAGAATCAGTGTAGTGAAGGAACTTTATTTTTGAGGAAACACTGTGATTAAAGTGCTATGTGTTTCTCTTAACATTTGGATGCTTAGTACACTAGATGCTTAAACGGTGTATCAATATATGCTTAATCAACATGTCTGCATAGTTTAATCCTAATTGGTGATGAACATGTCGGTTAATAGAAATAGAATGGCTTGTTAATTCTGTAACTAAGCAAGAAGATGCACATTACTTGTGGTGCTGACTGTGTTTTGCTTTCACCAAAAGAGTACTGGGTGTCACACTGCTTGCTTTTCTGTTACACTGAGACCTGGTCTACACTAAAGAGGAAAGTCAACTTAAGATACTCTACTCTAGCTACGTTAATTATGTAGCTGGAGTCAAGGCATCTTAAATCATGTTTTGGCACCATCCACATGCTCCCATTGACTTCCCTTACTCCTCGTGAGGAGTAGGACTATCAGCACTGATGGGAGTGCCCTCTCTGAATTAACCGGTCTTCACTAGACCCACTAATTCAAACCCCAGAAGATCAACTGCAGCAGCATCGATCTTCTCCCTAGTGTAGATAAGCACCAAGAGAGCTCTGCCATTGACTGCAAAAGCTCTAGATGGAACTTATAGGATCTAAAAAGGACACCTTATTGACATTAAGATGGCATTAAAATCCAATGTTGAATGGGATTTGACATAAGTATTTCCTTAAGTTCTTCAGTGAAAGCTCTTCAAAGTGAAAAGTCCAAATGAATGCAAGTTGTAATACATATTCTTATTTGTGCACATGAATGCAAAATGTTCTAAAGGAGCATTTGAAAATTACAACCCATTTGCCCATAGTGATCAACTTTTACTTTTGGTTTCTGGAGACTTTTTTTAGACAGATGAACAGGTAAAGTATTATCTGTGTTTTTAATTACATTCAATCATTGTGGTAAAGGACAAGTGAGTATTTAATGATATTTCCAGCAATTCCACAAGAACAACCTACAGAGGGGGGGAAAAATACAGAAATGCTATTGCACAATGTTGCAGATGATAAAATGTCTATCCTGATTTCATTTGGAGCATAAAATGACTTGTAGGTTTGTTATATAGGACATTATTTACTAATGCATTTGGAGGGATGTATATGTTAATCAAAACTGGGGGGAAATTTTCAAAACATATTTATGAATATATTTGGTAAATTATCAGTCAGACTGGCCATATTCATATCTATTTTGATTGTTATTCAGAAGCATTCATGCCAGCAAGATTTGGGGAATAATCACTTTTTTTTTTCAAGAAATATAAATTAATTCAATGACAAAGGGACATTCTATTTCAAGCAGAAATGGAAAGAGTTAACACATATTAGGATATCTAATCATGTAGTTAGTCAGAAGCAATATAATATTTAATCTTGGAGGAGTTAGATGACAAATCATGTGTTATAAATAGTGGATTATCAATAGCAAATATATGGCTTTTGCAGCAAAGTTAATGAGAAAGATTAGGCTAAGATACTGTAGTTTACAGAATAATTTGTCAAAAATGCTAATAAATACATAAAAATCCATACTCTTTGCAGATAGTTCACAAACAGAAAAATATGATAATTTTACAGGAATGTGATCCTGATCCCATCCCAGGTTAGTTCTAAGTTTGATTAATATTGCAGGGAATCTGGTCTGATTTTATTACTGCTGGGGAATTTTTGCAGTGTGATGTTTCATTGATAAAACTTCTCACACACGCATCTCTAGTGAATTTTCTGAGAGGCATAAAATGGATTACCAACAATCACTGGGAACTCTTCTTTTCTACTTTCAACCTTGGTTAGGCAAATACTTCTGAGCAGCACCATATTCAAGAGAAACCAATGGGAATTTGTAGGTTGTGCATCTTTGAAACTAATTTCTGATATCCCTATGAAAAAAATAAGCATTAAATAGATGCCCCTACCAGGTTGTTTCTTATATTACATTAAATTATAGCCTACAGAAAACCTATTTATAATTCCTATCACATTTATGTATTTATCCTGCTCAGATGGAATCCACAAATGTTATGTTTGCTTTTCTACTAGCCACAGTAATATATAATCACTAAACAACAATGTTATTTACTTTTTCTCTGTAGGGGCTGATGTTATCAATTTTGATGGCCATGTTGTGTTACCGTACAGATTCAGGAACAAGAAAATGAAAACATTGAAAGATGTCATCACTCTGAAATTTAAAACCTCTGAAAGTGAAGGTGTAATATTCCATGGAGAAGGGCAACAAGGAGACTATATCACTTTGGAATTGAAAAAAGCCAAGTTGGTTCTTAATTTAAATCTAGGTATGCTTTTATGCTTGGTTGCTTACTCTTTAAAATCATTTTTGGTATATAATTTAAAATCAAATACCATTCTCCTTATTGTCTTCTTTTGTTTGTTGTCTGAAGAAGTACCTTGTAATCTGATAATTTGGAGAAAACGTGGAACCCTTTCTTGTATCTTTGAAAATGTGTATAGATTATGTCTTACTATGTATACAACATATCAGTAAAATGAAAATGGAGCCACAAGTAGAAACACGATAAAAACCAATGACAACTAGAAATTTACAGTTCCCAAATAAGTGAGAAAATAACTTTATCTCAGTATAAGGTATATGCCATGCTGGTTAGCTTTACACAGTAGCTTTACAGTAGAAATAAGTGGTGTTGTAGAGAGACAACTGGTCAGCGGTACTAGAGGAAAGGTCCAGATAATTTAGGAAAACCTTGGAAAACTTCAGAGAAAACAATAATGGCCTGAGAGAAGTCATGGGTTAATGCCAAGCTGAGGTTCAAGAAGACAGTGTTATAGAAAGCATAGCCAGGGGAGAGGTAGACTGAGGGCTCTGGACTGTAAATGTTTCAGGGCAAATACTGGCCCTACTAAAGTTAATGGTAGAAAAATATTTCACTCTGAATGTCTGATTTGATTTTTAGATGTGCGTGTGGCGAGGTAGGAAAGCTTTCAGGTCTCAGTAATCTAGTTTGTGTTGATAGAAACTATACCCCAAGCAATGTGAGAAGACTATTGGGGTACTTTGGGGAGCTACTTTTCACATGGATCCATCCTTTTTGTTGTTTTTAAAATAGGAAAGTTAGTGGGTTGGCTTTTGTGGTGTATTCAGTAAATAATCCATCATATAATTAATTATTTGGAAGGCTTTATGAACACCCTAGATCAGTAGCAGGCAACCTGCAGCCCGAGGGCCTCATGCAGACCATCAGGGTTCTATGTGTGGCCAGAGAGACATTTTGTTTACATACAGGGTTGCCAGATTCTTCTGGTTTAGTAAAGTGATGCACACACAAAGCAAGGGAATGTGAAGTGAAGTGAGTGTTGACTGCACACAACATTGACGGTGTACGCTCTCTGCATCCAATCAAAGCACCGCTATAGTTCAATCGGCACACCCCCACAAATTCTAGGTACACAAGCATAGTTTGCAAAACTATCCTCTCCCAGGAGACCACCTTGGTTATGACAATCTTGCAGCCCACTGAAATGGAGAACCACTCATGCGGCCCACACCTTAGCTTGGTTGCTCATTGCTGCCCTAGATGGTGAGACTAAGAAGTGTAGGCTTTTTCATAAAAGCTGAGCATTAGAGGCAAGATACAGGCTCTGTCTGTATCCAGTTGCCTCATTAAAAGTCATCTATATATTCATTGATACAGAGTCCTGCCTCTTTCCTGCAGCAAGAGAAATTATAGGCTTTTGATCAGGTTGGTTCATAGGCTGAGTTATTTAAAATATTTTTGCTCATATGAGAAGGGCAGCATGCTTATGTTTTTACATTCATTTTTCCCTTAAGGATGAGGTTTCATGTAACTTTTCCCAGCTTCTCTTGCATTCATGTGAACAGTAAGTTAATCTATTCATGTATTATTTACAATGAATAGTAATTATTTCCACTACATTTTCTGTTCTGCTCCTTTCTTTAAAGACCAACAATGTAGGCAAATGCTGATGAGGACAGCACATCTTCCTGTAGCATTAATCTATTTTTAGCAAATTTCACTGAAATTATAACCCATTCATTTCTCAGTTTCATGAAATTTTTCAGCTCAGCCAGCTTGAATAATATATAATGGCATCCATACATTTGCTTGGCTGGGCTGTGATTATACACTTGCAGGAAATTGGGGAAGGAAAGATCTACTAAGACTCAAAGTCTCAGTTCCAATGATGTTTAATACTAAGAACATTTCAGCTTCATCAGTATGTTTAGATTATGTCTCATTCAAAATGTGCAAGATTGTGGCACAACACATTTCTGATTTTTTTGTATTAGTCTCTTGTTGAATAAGAACAGGTCTACTCTGCTATCATTTTCCAATACACCTATCAGTCAGGAATGTGAAGAGGTGTCATACCTGACCAATGTATAAGTGCCCTGTTTGAATGCAATTATGCAATCAAGGTTATACCAGGCTTATGACAGTATAGCTTCTTTGCCTTCTGAGGCTGGAATAAGCTTTACCTGCAAAAAGCACAAATGTTCAGGTATAAGCTGCATCCACAGTGGAATGTTTCTCTGTCCTAGTATGTCAGTATAGGTACAAACCAGCATACCCTTCCATGTCTACACCTTCCCCAAAGTTATTCTATCACCAGACCTCAAGGGACAAATTCCTATCTGAGGGTATGTCTACACTACAGCACTAATTCGAACTAACTTAATTCAAATTACTTAATTCGAACTAAGCTAATTTGAACTAGTGCATCTAGACCTAAAAACTACTTCGAATTAGCATTTTGCTAATTCGAACTAGCATGTCCACATTGAGTGGACCCTGAACCAAAGTTAAGGCTGGCAGGAAACAGTGCCGGCAGGGCATCAAGTTAGGACTTAGCGTGTGGAGCTGCTGTCTCAGGCTAGCCGAGGGCTGTACTTAAAGGGACCCGACCCCACCCCAGACAGACAGTTCTCGGGGTTCCCCACTTCCTTGTCTACCTCGATGAGGTACAGCAAAGCAGTCCTGTCTTGAATTGCCCTGAGTGCCCACACTTGGCACATCACAGCACTCGGCCATCAGCCCAGCTGCACTTGCCGCACGCTGCCATCGGGCGGGGGGGTCAATCGGGGGGCTGCAGGAGAGCTTCCACCCTGAGGAACCCATAGAGCCACCCCAGTCCTCCCCATTGGGGGCTCATACCCCATTCCTACCTCACCTCCTTCCACTTACCCCTCCCTAGCCCCCCTTCTTGATGTAAAAAATAAAGGATGCGTGTGTTCAAAAATAGAAACTCTTTATTGAAC